TTTTTTTTTTTTTTTTTTTTTTTGTTATAATTATATTAAAAAAATCTATTATTTCAAATATAGTATAACGATAATGATAGTAACAATAATAAATTTATAAATTTATATAAATAAAAAAACGTTGATTTATTCATTATTTTATATGAACATTCTAAGGTGGTGTGTTATTGGAATACTCGACATTTAAAAATGTCTATAAAATAATGTCGTATAATTAATAATGTAATTTAAATTGGTTTAATTGGAAAACATGCATCGTGACATATCCTTGTGAGAGAGTACACGATTATATGTTATATTTAAATATATTTTTAAGCATTTATTTATTATTATTATTATTATTATTTTAATTTCATAGTACCCTTAAGCCCTCTTTGACTTAAAAAATAAAACATAAATTGAAATATACTCAACAGAGTTGATAGCAATATTTTCAAATTAATTTCCCAAGTTTAAATTAAAAAATAATAATAAACTAAAAAACTAATTAATCATCGAGATCTAAATTAAAATAAAAAATAAAAATCAACTCATTTCATATGGAGAATAAAAAATTATCACATTATTTAATTTTAACGAAAGTAATATATTATATAAAAAAAGGAAAGGAAATGAATAACCAATCCCCCAAACTGAAGATACGAATGATTATTAAACTTCCTATTTTAATACCCAAATATTTTATTTATTTATTTATTTAAAGCATTAAAAAGGTATAACCTTAATTAATGAATGACAATTATCAATATTTTAAAATTAAACACATTATTTAAAATAAAATTATACAGGGAAGCCAAACATCCACATAAGGCTGCAGGCTTATTATTGAGGATATTAATTGCAGCCATAACCACCATGATAGCGACCAAATAATTTTAAATACTTACGAAATGGCCGTTGGAGAACGCCACATAATCATGGAAACGACATCGTTATGGAGCTTCTCTATTAATTGATCGACTAATCAGATTTAATTAGACGTTTTGGCGTTTAATTATTTGTCATTTACCGTAACAATACTTTTGACTCCATGACGTGACCCCTTCCTTTGGGGTTTAGTGCTCCCCAAAACATAGGCCATATCTATATACCTATATGTATATATTTATAATTAGTATTTTGTTTAATTAAATAAAACCACCGTTTTTTTCCTTCTATTTACGTGGGCCCCCATTTTATAGGTGGGAGAGGCTTATGGAGCGCTCTCGAACAATTTCCTTCTAATCGAGGCTCGACTCCTTTCTCTAAAGCCATGAAACAAAGTACAACATTTGTTTGATACTTTAGTAACTTTTGACTACACCTTCAAAGTTCACAATTTTTTTTCGATATTTGAGAATTCTATTATCATAGCTAAGTTCATGGCATGACTGTGATACCATGTTAGAAATCACGGATTTCTACGATAGTATAAGCGATTATGGGAAATCCCAAAGCAAAGCAAGCAAAGCTATGAGAGCTTAGGCTCAAAGTGGACAATATTATATTATTGTGGAGATCCGTAATCCCTTCTTAATAATGATTAGGTATGGACTTTAAATTTTACTATGTCTTTTAATAGCTAGATTTAAAGTTTTTTTTTTTTTCTTTCTTACATTTAATGGATTTTTTTTTAATACTAATTTCTCTTTAAAAAATAATCTCAATATTTTCGAAACTCAAGAATAATAATAATAATAAATGTATTTTATAAATTTTATATCACGATTCAAAGTTGGTTCTCAACTACTCGACGAAGCCAAGTGGGCGTTGATGAAAGATCATATTTCGGATTTGAAAACAGTCGAAGCAAATCGTTGACAGCAATATTGGACTTGGGTGCTGACGTGGCGCAATAAGAGGCAAATATTCTTTTGCCCACGGTAAAAAGGTGGAAGAGAGGTAGAAAATGAAAGTTTGAGAGGAAACCGGCTAGGCCGGTCGCAATCACAGGTTAAAAAACATGACCACGTGGCTAGTTCCGAGCCCACACTTTTTTTTAATGACACGTAAATCCGGCTGTTCTATTATTCCCCACTCGGTCTGACCGGAGACCTGCTGCCAATATAAATCAAACTAGCTCACCAACTTTACTATAATACCCTTTATCAATTTTCATTTTATAAACCATAATTTAATTAGATGTGTAATTATTTAATCAGTTGTACGTTCGTGTTGCCTATTTTTTAAATCTAATCTTTACTTGTTCCTCCATATAAAATAATAATAATAATAAACAATTTTTGTAGAGTAAAACTTAATTTTGAATTTAATATATGGCAAGTTATCTCCATCACTATTATTTCAATAATTTTGAATTAATTTCTCAGTTATTATTGGATTGTTCAACATTATAAAGTACGAACATCAGTATTAAAAAAAATAAATGTAATGGCGTAACTAAAAGGGAAATTGTTGTAAGGGACAGATTGGTAAATTCGTCTCATTTATTACAGATCTGCTAACCGACAAACCAGATGGTCGGCAAGGCAACTGTCGGCCTGTGAACCATGGGAGACAGTAGAGAAAATTTTCGTCCCGCTATTTTTTTTTTCTTAATTATTATTATTATTTTTGGACAAAAAAAAAAAAAAAAAAAAA